GTATATATATATATATATACAAGTTAACTCTGTTGTAAAATTCACCAAAAATAATAATAATGTCTATTACATTGAGAACAGTAGTTGTTTCTTTTGGATTGGGATTTTGTGATATTTTTGGCTATTTTAATATTCATTATCGTTATTATTATTATTATTGTTATTATACTTGTATATTTATATTTATAATTAATACGTTTGGCTACCCAAGCTGCCATACCCATCTGCTCACAACAGACTCTTGTTAAGGCTTTAGACCATTTTTTTTTTCCATTCAACCTATTATTATACCTATTATTTTTATTATATACCTATTATTATTATACAAATTAGTTACTATACCTATTATTTAACCTTTTATTATGTTACATTATTGTTGTTTAGCATGCATTATCTTAGATCCTTGTATACCGTTTCTATTTTCATATTTTATATCTTTGCTATTTTTGGGTGTAACTGGGACCTTGAGAATACAATTTCATTCCACCTCATGTACCACATGTGATTCGAATGGCAATAAAGAACCTGTCGTAACAGGGGCGCTGGTGCAGATAAATCCAGTAGTGCAGGTAGGCAGTAGCAGACTCAGGAGTTATGAAATGAAGAATTTATTTACATAAACAAAACGCTATCAGAGCAGCAAGACTTCCATGAATCACAAGGCACAGACAGGACATCACCAGTGGACAGCATGCAATGCCAAGACAAAGGACTAACGCAGAGACGCAGACTATATACAGCGACTAACGAGACCAAACACCTGTGAGGACACGCAGCTGAAACACATTAGGGGAAGTGATAAATGGAAAACCAGGGAGTGCAGGAACAGCAACACAACACCAGATGGAGGCATACACTAGGAAAACACAAACCCTAGAAAACAGAACCTGACGATAAGGAGAACAGAAGACATAAACACAACACAAGATGGGGCTAGACATTAGGAAACGTACCACAATCGCTACAGAACCTTGAACCTATTTTTTTATTTTTAGCTTTTAGCTAAGATCTAGCTACATTTTATATAGAAAAGTTACTGAAAACATAAAATCAACTTGTTAAAGAAACCCAAAGCAAAACAAAAAATACCCAAACAATTTAGCTCTTTCTAGGTTTAGCTAGTGTTCAGCTCCTTTTAGCATCTAGCTGGCCTTTTGCTGCTTTAGCAGCTAGTAGTTTGCTATACTTCAAGCTAGCCTTTTGATACTTTTAGTTTATGTTTAGCTACTTTTAACTAAGAATGATGGCTGAAACACCATAAGACAACTTGCTAATGGTAAAAAACATGATTTTTGAAGAACATGCTTGTATATGGCTTTCTTGTTAGCAACACGTCAAAAAATATCAAAGCTAGAACTTGGCTCCTTAGCTATGGTATTACTGTTTTAAACATATAGCTAGTGTTTTAATTCTTTTAGCCAGCATTGAGCTTTTTTCTTTAGTGTTTTGCTCCTTCTACATTTTAGCTAATGTTCTGCTTCTTTTAGCTAGACTTTTGCTACTAAAACCTAGCTTTTTGATAATTTTAGATACAATTTGCTAACTGTGAACAGTGACTTAAAACATCATCAGGACAATTTATTAACAGTAAAACTTAGAAGTCAATAAAACAAGTTGTGAAGAAGACAGTAGCTGTTGAGGCCAAACTGACTGAACACATAGATTATATTTAACAAATACAGAGTAACATTCTGGAGATATGATGGCCCCTGATCAAATTAAATAAAATATTTAATTCATTGGACTTAATTATTGTCTCTAACTCGTGAAGTCGAACATAGACTAAGTTTGTTAATTCTGCTAAAGAAGCAGTTTTCACTTTGGTGATTTCAAAAAGCTCCAAAAACAAAAACCCTAAGAACATCTTTCATTAAATTTGAACGGAGAAATAATCAAATACTGTTTGTTAGCAGCTCCATTCAGAGGACAGAAAAAAGTTTGGCTGTTAATGTGAACACTCCAACATCACAGACCTTAGCTGATCCTTCAGACGGGTCCTTAAACCAGGAACCGTTTGGGTCTCCTGCCTTCTTCACAATCTTCAGGGACTTGATTTGACTCACAGCTGTGCTGCAGTCTGACACAAACAAAAACACAACCTATGTTATCTGCAAAATGCTCTTTAATATTTGTTCCACTCATTCTGAATCCAAACTTTGACGCTTCCCACCGTTCTCTACGTTCAGCTTGGCCTTCGTTTTGATCTGCTCCAGTTCTGCAGCCTTTATCTGTTGTTCCAGCAGCGCCTCCTCCATCTCAATGTCAGACTGAGTGGGAATTTTATTTTCCAAATACTCCAGCTCTCCCTCCACCCGCTCAACACGTGCAGACACACTGTCCATCTGGCTCTTCACTTCTGACCTTGAAGCACAGAATACTTGTGCGATGAGCTTTTGATTTACCGATGGTCATTTGGACAGTTTGTTCGTTTAATGTGTGTTTGGGATGAGCTTCAGGCAGAACTGACCTCAGCATGCTGAGCGTGGACTGATAACCCCTGATCTCAGAGGACAGGTCGTAGGTTTTCTGGGTGACGCTCAGTGTGTTTTGCTCACACTGATTCAGACGCTCCTGATTAAGAAAAAGTGAATGCAAAAATAAAAATTGAGTTCTCCCAAGACATTTAGGAGCAAATAACGACCATGACGTACCAACACTGCTTTTCATTCATTTGAACAAAAGAAGGCAAAATAAATAAATAAACAAACAAACAAATAAATAAATAACTGCTGCTGCTTTTATTTTTTAAGTATTTAACTTTTACAAATATTTTACTGATAAGATCTCTTCAAACATTGTTTTGCTTATTTGCTCTTTTTTGTGATATTTTGCAACTTTTAGCTACATTCTGCTGTTTTTATCCAGCCTTTCGCTTTTTTTAAAATCTAGCTATCATTTTGCTACTTTCAACTAGACTTTTGCAACCTGCATAACTTTTTGCAGCAATTAGCTAAAGTTTTGCACTTTCAAGTTTCAACAAGGGTTTTGCATCTTTAAGCTTTTAGCTAATGTTCTGCCATTTTTTTTTTAGCTTTAACAACTCAGTTTTAGCTTCTTCAACAAAGTTCAGCACTTTGCATTCACTATAAATTTCAGCTTGTTATGCTCCTTTTAGCTTGTTTCTGCATGTGTCCGATTTTTCTACTATTTCAGCTACTATATAGCTGTTTTATGCTAATGTAAGCATTTTCAGCTAATTCCACATTTTTTTGCACTCATTTAAACTTTTTCAGCATAATTCAGCAAAAATGTGCTCTATCCACTTCCTTCTTGTAATTTCAGCTTCTTTCTGCTTTTTAGCTACTTTTCAGCTGCTTTTTGCTAATTTCAGCTTTTTCCAGATAATTTCTATATTTTGTGCTCATTTCTGCTTATTTCAGCCTAATTGGGCAAACGTGTTATTTCTGCTTTCTTCTGTTAATTTCAGCTTGTTCTACTTTTTCAGTTAACGTTTTAGAAAACTTTTAGCTAGTTTCAGCAGTTTTCAGATAAATTCAAGTTTTTCTTGATAATTCCGACTAATTCAGCCTCATTAACTTATTTCTGCTAATTTCAGTTTGTTATGCTCCTTTCAGCTTTTTCTGCCATTTCAGCTACTTAGCTATTTTGTACAAATTTTAGCTTTTTCAGCTAATTCCACTTTTTTTTAAAGCTCATTTCAGCTCTTTCCACTTCCTTTTCATAGGTTAACCTTCTTTCTGCCTTTTCAGCTGCTTTATCTATGTTTTTGTGTGCGTGTGTGTGTGCTAATTTTAGCTCTTTTTTAGCTGATTTTCCTCATT